GTACTGGCTCCTATTCTTATGCTAAAGTTCTGCTCGTGAATACCTGATCAGCCAACAGATCGTGATGGGGCAGTGCGTTGTTTAAACCCAACCTGGAATTTATAAAACCGCGAATTCAACTACTGCCCAATAGACACCAGCTTCCATTCAATATAATGGCCTATAATAAAGTTACTATACTTTCACTTTTTAACACCTCACTACCGCCAGACAAAGTCGGATGATTCTCCCTCCTATGGAAACATAGTGCACACAACAAGATAAATAAGCATTTGCATGCATATAGAAATTGGCTCTTCAGAGGCCTTGATGTGAAATGCAAAAATCTTACCTGAATTGAAATTCGAATTGAGTATTAACGATTTGGTATCATTGGCACCTCTCAAAGCCCCATATGAGTAAGAGGTTATATTATTCATGCGTGAAACGTCAAAGCTGCTGTCTCTATTGACAAAACGTGAGGAGAGGATTGAAGTTGGCAATTGACGAAAAGAGGCGGATACGTCCGCTTCTCTTCCACTCTGTGCATTTGATGTCGGGAAAGGATTAACTAAGGCTTTGAACTCAGAGGCCATCTTTTCAATTTCTTTCAAAGCTCTTGCGATCCTTACTTCAAGAGTATCAATTTTGTCATTTTGCAGGCTCGATACCTCAGGATCTGTAATGTGGAAACGGACATAGGCAAATTATTTGTGCGAATGAACTTAAACTGGGCTTCCTGTACTATGAAAAACGCGTCCTGATCGCCTCTCCAATTACCTAATTTTTGTGGTTTCTATGTCACTAATCAATTTCAATTTAGGCCGAAATCTGTCAGTAGGTTCTCTCACTCTCACAACAAAATCAACTTTGTGACTGTGTTGGGTGCAGCGCTAACCCTATTTATATCACGATACACCCTTGAATAACAACTGTTGATAGTTTTCCACAAGTCTACAACCGAACCCCTTCCGCCTTATCTAAACTCTTTACAAGTCTCTCTAAGCCGCGCACGCGTCTACAGTCTCTAATCCATTAAATAGTCAAGCTCTCAACTTTTTCGCCCAATCAAAAATGGAACTAAACGAGATCACATCCATTTCCCTCTTCACATTCGTGTTTTTTACAAATTGTAACACTCACGGTTCAGTATCTTTTATTGATTTCTTCCTCCCAGTAAATAGGGTTGATTGAACTGTTTCGATCGCTACAGGGGTGAAGGGTCGCTGTCTTTATGAGATCCTAATTACAACATATCCATATGGTAAACGATCTATCATACACATTGTATTGTGTGCATTTGCATCTTCATTTAATTATTCACCTCCACCATTTACAAAACACTAACTACTCGCCATATTGCGACAAATATAAACGAGTTCGCCTGACTTCTCATCCTTAGGATGAGGAATAATTGCAGCATTTTCGACTTCAAGTCTACTCATGTCTTCCCTCCTTGCCTATGTCCAGTGTCTTAATGACTATTGTGCACGGGAAGGCGCTAGCACATGAATTTGCTCAATATTAAATCGTGGAACTTACCGACATGCCCGTTGTTATTGTGATTTGTTGTTGATTCTTCCGAAGTGCCAACATCTTGGGATGATACTTTTGGTTCAGAAAGTGTACGATCAGCCTCGTGAAGGAATCTTAACAAGTCATTTTCACTTTGCGAAAAGCGATGTTCATTCCGATTCTGAGTCTCTGATTGCATTTCAATTATCCCTCCACTTCCA